ATATATATATATATATCATACACACTCACAGAAAACTCCTCTGGAATTTTATAACACAGGCCCCAATAACACTGGCGCCATAGTTATCACTGTTCATCTTCTGCAGCATGACTGTCTCTTGTAGTTGGTTGATTTCTGACTTGCAAGTTAAGATTCAGGTACTAGCTCTGAAACAAAACAGGGAAATATATCACAAAAGCTAACAGTGTTTCCTCTGAGTTGAATGTTCCTTAGCTTTCACAGGATATTTACTTAAAAAAGATTGAGAGCAGTTGCATCAGTTCTTGCACAACACGGAAAAGTTCCATCTTTTCATTGCTAAAATTTCATCTTGGGGAACTTCCATAAATGTGTGTTCCCCTGTACTAAAGACAGCTGTCACACACAGATAAGACTTCAGCATGTCTGGTAGGACAGTGATTCCCATCTCCTCTTTAAAATGAACATATGTACAAGGGGACATTTCCACACAGTTTAGATTCCTCCCACTGAGGGTTCAAACCTTTAGACCTTTTTTATTTTGCAGCAAACACAACACAGACTGTGAAGGAATTTCAGTGACTGTTTTTTTGCAGTGAAAGAAGTAAAGCAATTGGCTGATCTTGAAGCTGTAAAGAATATGGCTAAATAGTTTATCAACCAGACTTCTTGAGAAAAGATACATATAAGGAGTTAATAATAACAACAATAATAAAAAAGTTTACACTGCCATCATGTTACATTTAACAGCTATTGTTGTACGTATTTCTAAAGTAATTACAAATATAGCTTCAAATGTTCCCCTCCTCAGAAATCTACACGAAGATCTGATTCTGGATCAGTAGAAAGCGTTGGTATTTATCAAGATTTTGATAAGAAACCTAGAGCTCCTGGAGGAGATACAACAGGTGAGAAAAACTGTTCTAATTTAGCCGTGTATCTACCAGACTACACAAGCTACAATTTAAGTATTCGTCTTGCCTTACATTAAACAATTTTTTTCAATGAGCACTGTTAAAAGAAGCATATATTTCTTTTTACCTTCTCCTGGTCACACAAAACATGCATGCAATTTTTGACAAATGCATGGACCACAATCTCCAGGTACATACCCACCTTTCTGCAAAATGCTTGCACGGTATCATCAGTGTCTTGTTAGTCACGCAGCAGATCTATGCAGTGGAGGGGAAAAAAAAAAGTACAGCTATTAATTTTAGGTTATAATCAGGATTAAACTGTATGATCGTGCTTCTTAGCAAGCACTGGGCATACATCAGATCTTTTTATGGCCTCCCTACTTAGGTTGAGGGACTAATTTGTTCTGTTAACAGAAGAAAACTAATTTGTTTACAAGCAGTCCTTGTAAAGTATCTTCTCCAAATTATGCTCTGTATCTGAGTCAGAGGGGAAAGTTAGGACCTTTTGATTTTTATAACGGCCAAGTATTGCTTAAACTCAGCATCAGAAACAATCACAGATTCAATCAAAACCAACACTATCAATTATACTCGTGTAATTTAAACATTGTTATAAGCTTGAGTTGACCGTTATGTTTGGATTCACTGGTATTCCAGCAGCAGATGCACTGAGATAGCATGTCAGGACTTAATTCTGTGTGGGGGATCTGAGTCATGTGGTATTTCTGCATCTATCGAACTTTAAACTCCCTGTTTCTACTCACAGATAGCAGTGAGTACGATAAACTCTGGGAGGGAAGCACAGCCAAGACAGCATCGCGAATTGCAAGCAGGAGAAAATTCAACATAGACAGCTTTGTCTTCCACAAAGTACTAGGGAAAGGAAGTTTCGGAAAGGTACGTAACAAACTTACAGAGTTCAAGGTGACTGCTGTGCTTGATCTCTGCTATGTGACAGGCTGTTTTCATTAACCAGAAAGGTCTCACTGTTACAGCTGCTTGGGGAGATAGTCTTTTAACAGCCTTGAACATAGTCATCTTTGTCAAAAACACTATGAATACATCACCCAAAGCTTGTGTGAACTCAAAAGTGATTCATAATGCACAAGTTTCCATTATTTAGTATTAAGACAGAATTGCTTTTCCTGCACCACAGTGCAAAAGGGTATTTTATGTTGGTACACTCTGTACAGCACAGCTTTGTAACGCTCCTGAGATGGCAGGGGGAGGTGTGGGGGAGCCCCAGGACCTCCAGAGATTCTGTCCACTGCCACCTGTGAAACTACAGCTCTAATGAAAGAACAGGCTTTACAGGTCTTCTCTGAGTAAGACATGGACAGAAAAACTGCCCTGGATGCTGCTGTGCCAGCGTCATGTGGTCCTTGAGCCCCGTCTCCTCGCCTCCATGCCCAGCAGCTTCACCTTCCCAGATCACACTCATCTTTCCTGCTACAAACACCTCTGACTTCCTTTTATTGGTATCATCAGCTACAGCCTTTCTTGCATGTGCTGTAATCTCATCTGTTGTGGGTTTTTTTTTTTTTTTTTTGTAGGTTCTGCTCGCTGAGCTGAAAGGGAAGAATGAATTCTTTGCTATCAAAGCTCTGAAGAAAGATGTGGTGCTCATTGACGATGATGTGGAGTGCACCATGGTGGAAAAGCGGGTCCTTGCACTCGCATGGGAAAATCCATTTCTCACACATCTGTACTGCACGTTCCAGACAAAGGTAAGAAAAAGCCCAATGGCAACAGCAACACAATAGATGGAGTCTTTTAATGGATGCCATTCCCATTAGTCAAGTGAATGTAACTCGGTGATGCAAGAATTAAATTTCTATTTCTTGTGCTCTGTGCAGTAGTTCACAGGCCTTGAGTGAAGTAACTATGAGTATGGCTTCCTCAGGCATTAATGAGAAGAGAATGAGATCAGATAAATACCTATGTAATCTGGAATAAGAAGCAGTTTAATTTAAATCCTTAATCTTAGCTTTACTCACAGTGAGAGAAGAAAAGATGACTGTTCACAGGTAGAAGTCAGTACATATTTAAATGTATGTTTCTATTAATTCTAGAAATGCACAGAACACAAGATCAGCTGTTTAGTGTTACACTACAAGACCAGGTTACTCACATCTGTGGGAGTCTCACACGCTCTTAGAAGTGCATGAAATAGAGAAATATTTCAGGAGAGGAGGCAAGTGGCTGCTTGGCCCCAGGAGCCACACTGCTACTCCACACGCTGCCAGAATAGCACAAGTCATTTTTCCATTCTCTGGTTATTTGCCAACAGGATCATCTGTTCTTTGTTATGGAGTTCCTGAATGGGGGAGACTTGATGTTCCACATACAAGACAAGGGGCGTTTTGATCTCTACAGAGCAACGTAAGTTCACAGCCCTCAGTCCCTATTATCTGCATGAATGATTTCAGTCTCTGTGGTTTTAGTGCTGACAATTGAAAAGGTACTTCTAAGACCTGCTTTAATACAATGAAGCAGCTCACTCAAATATGTGTGGGGTGAGGTTTTCTTAATTTACGTAGCAGTGTGATGCTTTACTTTATGGGATGCTTGTACCTAGGGATGAGAAGTAAACTGCGACATGAGCTAGGAATGAAAAGCAAAAGGTACAGCCTCAATGTCCCTTAGGACAGTATTTAGATGGAAAAATAAGAAAATAGCATGAGAAAAAGAAAAAACAAAACACTTGTATTACTTGTGTTGCTAAGTTGCTATGACACAGTACAGAAGGATAACCTGCACATTCCACAAGATACTAATAAAATGGGTAAACACTTTGTTTAGCAAGTACAACTGCATCAGTAACCCACGTCTTAAAGATCAGTGGAGCTGAAGACTTAAAAGCTGCAAAAATATCGTATTATTCTTACTCTACCCATCATTTAGGTCAGTTTCTACCTCTCTCACCCCAAAGCCTGAGGGTTTTAATTGTATTATTGAAAGCGTGCATGGCAAGACCTTAAAAGTAACAGTGCAGGGTAGTGGATCTACCAGTAAGCACCAGTGTTATCCTGTAACCAGATTGGAAAGTTATTTGTGCTACTGAGCACTGTACTAAGGAACACTGGATAGGAGGAGATCAAGGGGTCGGGTACAAGTAGTGGCTGGTAGCAGCCAGCTTTACAGGTCAGGGCAAGCTGCCTTCCCACTCTCCCCTGCAAAGAGCTGGGCAATGCCCTTCCAGCTTATCTGCACTCCAGCTAACATCTGTGCACCTGGCAGCTTCTCCTGGCACCAAGTTCTCTGGACCAAGTTCTGAAGTTTTAGGTCAATATTAATTCTCCTATACAGAAGTGGAAAGAATTTCGTATTTGTTCACCTAAAAATAAAAAGCTTCCAATACATTTTGGGGGTGGGAGGAAGCATTTTTTAAGAGTTTTCCTTCATATCCTCTGGATTATCACCTCTTTTTTTGAACAGAATGCCCCTGAAGCAATGCTAATTTCCACCTCCTGGAGGTGGGCAGGTGCAGAGGGAGAGAGGTGAGGTTTAGATACTTACAGGTATGTGGTGAAGGGACTCGCTTGCAGAGCACAGCAGCCAGCTCTATGGCCACAGGTATATTGGTATCTAAAGAAGGGTACAGTATGTCTCCAACCACCAAAAGATGCTTACAGAAGCTCTCTTGGGCAACTGCATTGCCTATGTTTTACCTGAGTGAGACAGATTAAAAAATGTTTTGGCCTTTTCAGGTTTTATGGAGCTGAAATTTTATGTGGGCTACAGTTTCTTCACAGCAAAGGCATTATTTATAGGTGAGTACCGACTAGCTCCAGAGTGGGACCTAAGAATTGTCTTAACACTTCAGGAATCTTTGCATCACTGATTGACATAACAAGTAAAATCTGTCTGTCAAAGAGCTGATGTTATTCCATGGGCATTAATGTGCCTGAGGTGAATCTGGATCTGTGTGCCTTTTCCTTGGCAACCAGGATGATGGAGTGTTATGTTACAGAAAAACAGTTTTGTTTCAGTTATTTTTTAAACGTTACCTTCAAATCATGAGTCTAGTTTGGAGGCAAGGGAGAGGGTCCTTGACACCATCAACATTGCCAACCATATGAAAGCCACTGAGCTGAAAGTCATCTGCTCTTGCCTTCCATGTGAAACCACAGTATTGATGCTTCTGCCTCACCAGGTTGAAACATCAGTGGCCAGATCCTGATCAGCTGCTTCTTCTTGTGAATACCCACACTGCAAGAGATCAGAAGGGGTATTTTTAAATGCAGTGTTTCTCTCAATTTCCTTTCTTCTGCCTTTTCACCCCATCCCCAGGTCTAAAGCACTTTTTGGTAGCTCTTACCTCGGTTAGAAACAGGTATGAAGGGTAATGGCTGCATGATAAGGAACAAGTTACACAAGGTAATTTAGATAAATGTGCCCCCAAACATCTGGCATTGTCCATCTCCCTTTACAGAAGTAGGAAACATCTGTTGGAGCATCCACTCTTCAAAGCAATTTTCTGAACTTAGAGACTAGCGTTTCACAAAAAGTGTTTGTGAAGAGGATGGACACCACAGGAATCCTCCTTGGTGAAGATGGGTGATTTTTATCAGACTACCAGCCTCTTGGAGAAGCCAGGGGAGGTGCTTAACGTACCCAAATGTATTCCCACTGCCTCCTGCAGGTTTTTACACAGGAAAGGATCAATCTCCAGGATATGTTGTCATCAGCATGAAACCCTTCAGTCCCAGATTTTCTAGAGCATTTTTAGGCTTGCTAAAATTTCGCTGCAGTAAATTAGAATGTTCCTGGAAGGAGACTGAAGTGCTTCAGAGAACAGTACTGTTTTCCAGCAAAACCAAAGGCACTCTTTTTCCCTGTCTCCTAGGGGAAGTTTACCAGTATAACCACAGAACTTGACTGGAGCAGTTTTAGGTAGGCACTGGATTGCATGGAAGTGCACATCCATACAAGAGGTTTTAGCACTTGCTGTAGCTAGGTAAGTGCAGTGCCCTAAGTTACAATGAGTATTCGCCCTCTCAGATATATTCCATTTCCTCAGGTGAACAGCAGCTGATGGCCAAACATGAAAAGATTTATGGTGTGTTGCATTAGATCAGGGACTCTTGGTTCGAGCTGCAGCTCACTGTCTGAGCAGTGTAAGTAGCTGATACTCGGAACTTCAGTTACCAAGGAGAAAAGACTACCCTGTTTTCAAGTAAAATTATCTGCTCTATTCAAGTCTTTCTCGGTAAGAAGAAAGGCTGTTCGTTTTTTTTTTTTTCCTTTAGCCTGCCCTCCTTTGTATGTGCTTTTGCAGCCAGATGGACAAAAAAAATGCATCACAGTTAAAGGGTGGGAATGTAGCTTTTGGAAACGGCTGGTAAAGAGCTCTCGATTGAGTAGTGTTATTCTGAAAAAAAGACATGAATAGGACACTTCACAGACCATGGCCACAACACATGAACCCCTTCATGCTGTAACTAGGAACAGGTCCCACATAGTATTAAAAGCTGAGCAGGCCTCGAATATTCATGCCCCTGCCAAAGGCACTAAGAATCCAACAATCCTTCTTTTGAGCTGTGGAGTTGGTGCAGCCCTGCTGTGTCAGCTGGTGGGGCAGTAACTCACACCTCCTTCCAGAAGCAACAGAAGCACTGGGTGTGCTTTTGGATCTGAAAGCAAATGTTGAGGATTATAAGGTCACACACTGTATATACACCTCAGCCTCTGACAAGAGAGTTCTTCCCTTCACCCTACTGCCTCCAAAACATAAAAGTACTATTTTGTACACATTGTGTTGATTAGTTTCTTGAAAAGCCTCTTTGTATGATGTAGGGTAGGTGTTTATCATTGAAGAGCCCGCGTGCATCTGAATAAGAAGTTGTCTTACTTGTCCTTGAAATGTAACTTTTTTTTTTTAACCCTTTTTGCAGGGACCTAAAACTGGACAATGTGATGCTTGATAAAGAAGGCCACATCAAAATAGCTGATTTTGGAATGTGTAAAGAAAATGTTGTTGGCGAGAACAAGGCAAGCACTTTCTGTGGGACCCCAGACTACATTGCTCCTGAGGTCAGTATATCAGTGCTGCAGGGATGGAGTTAATACATTGGTGTTGGAATGGCTGCTCTGATTGATCAGCTCTTCGTAGACTAATAGTTCAGAAGCATAAAAATATTAGCACAGAAAAAAAATCCAGAACATTAAATCTGAGGCCTCTATAGGAGGTACTTGATATTTGTAAATATTCTGTAGCTGCAAGTTTAAAAACTCATGTTTTTGAAATGTTAAGGTATTCGGTTTTTGCACAGCTGATTTTCCCTCCTGCCTGTATAGCAAACATTCACCCAGGGCTCCAGCAATATCATTATATCTGCTGCAGATGGTGAACTGACTTGTGGCCAGGCAAACAGTCAAAACTCAAAGAAAAAACAACTTTTAAGGGGAATCTCACCAAGTTAAATTCCCTGTAGTGGTGTATTTGGGGTTGGTTTGTTTGTTTGTTCTGGTGTGGTTTTTTTGTTTGTTTGGTTTGGTTTTTGTTTGCTTTTTTGGCAAAGTAGTCCAAATAAGGTAGTTAACTGTTAAACCTATGAATTATGTCAAAGGCTGTTTGGTAGTAATGTACTTTTCCTTGCTACTTGCTTTTCCACTCTATAAATAAACTAGAGAGAATATTTTCTAAATATATGGTTATTTAAAGTTAAGGGAAAGCATTTCTGCATGAGAGCAAAGACCTGTCCATTGAGCTGTCTACATTTGCACAAATAGCAGCCAAGGATGAAACTACAGATGTGCATCAGTATGAGCAATTTGTCAAATAGCTGGATTTCCTCCCACCTCCTCCCAAAATCTTAGTTATTAACAATTCTCTTTAAATCCTTCTTCTGTTTTCGGTGTATTTTTCTGCCTTTTACTAATACTCTTCAATTCTCCTGTGGAAAAAGATCCTGCAAGGTTTGCGCTACACGTTCTCTGTGGACTGGTGGTCATTTGGGGTCCTGCTGTATGAGATGCTTATTGGACAATCCCCTTTCCATGGGGATGATGAAGATGAATTGTTTGAGTCAATCCGAGTGGACACCCCTCACTACCCACGCTGGATTACCAAGGAATCAAAAGATATATTAGAAAAGGTAGGGCTGATGATCGACGAGTGGGTCACAGTACTGTACTTGTCTGGGGAGGGACAAATCCAGGATTTTAAAAGGAGCTGTTTACCAGCAAGCAAATTACTTCTACAAAGGGAAAGCCAGGTCAGACTGAAGACGAATGGTCTGTTTACTGTTAGGCACTTATGTTCTCCTAGCAGTACACCCATTATTCTTCCACTGCCACCTACCTTTGGAGCAGATGTCAGGCTTTACTGGCGTCTTCTCTTGCAGCTATTTGAAAGGGATCCAACAAGACGACTTGGGGTCACTGGGAATATCAGAGACCATCCTTTCTTCAAAACCATCAACTGGACGGCACTGGAGAAGAGAGAGGTGGACCCTCCTTTCAGGCCAAAAGTGGTACGGGGCTTATTCTTTATACTGTACTGAAGCAGTGTTGCAAATGTCGGCCTAGGGGTAAGGGACAACTTCTCCCCTACTGCAGATTTCTCCTCCCATTTTATAAATGAGACAGTTAGCTATCTCAAGCCTCACTGCTCTTAGAGCGTTCAGTTACAAAAAGGTGCACTATATTCCTTTGACTACCCTCAAATATTCCTGTTAAGACTGCTTTCCTCTACTCTCTCAAGGTGCTTCTTTACAAATATTATCTTCAAGAAAATTGACTAATAGAACTGATATCCATTCTCCTCGATGTCAGAAATGTTGATAGTTTCTTACATTTCTCTCTTCTGTAATGCCAGATGGGAGAAGGACCAATAACTTGAGACTACTCAGTAACTGCCTGCAGATATTGTTACAAGCATTAAGTCTGTGCTCTTTCAAACTCACCCGAGATTCTCCCAGTGGGCAAAAAGATGCATTCACTATACTACTGAACTTAGAACTATTTCTAACATACATGCCTAATGTTACCTGAAAAACCATACAAAGAACAGACCATGTATTACTTACACTGTGGGATGCTGCTGCTTCATCTCACCTGGTCAAAAATCCAAACCAGTTTTCCACCACTCTGAACTGGGTACAAGTAAATGATCTGGAGGTAAGTCTCCTCAAAGTGTACTGACGTACTTGATGGAGGATAGCTCCTACTTCAGAGGAGAGCTGTCCCACTCACGAACAGAAGGCTTCGTGTTGCATGTTCCCACAGAAATGGGAACTCTGGAAATGTGAGGACCCTACAAAAAGTAAACTTTGGAGGTTCAGAGTGTAAAACATGGTCTTTAGTCACATGAATTTTTATGAAACTTGCATAGATACATTATCCAGACAGAAAGCAACTGCAGTAGGGCTTAAGTTTTTTTTTCTCTGAGCAAGTACAGACTGTAAAATGCTTTCAGGAATTAATTAAATTTGGTTAATGCCAAGAAATGTTGGGCTTAAAGGTAAATGCTGTATTGCTTTTGTCCATAGTGGATCTTTGGGTAATTCTAAACATTATCCAGGTGGTTCTTCTCCAAAGCAACCTGGTGCTATTTGGTTTCAGCTAACAGTAAGCAGTTGCCAAGTTGCAATCTTAGTGTTGTTAAAATAGGCAAAAAGGTGGTGTTTGTTTTTTTTTTTTTTTCCCCTCTATGGGCATTAGAGAAGGGAAGAAGCTAAAGAAATTACTTCCTAGTCTTTTGTATTTAAGCAATTTGTTCTGGAAGAAATTACAGTTTGTCTCAGACTGCCTTCCCTCTCTGTTTAATGCAGAAGTCAGCAAGTGACTACAACAACTTTGACAGAGAATTTCTGAGTGAGAAGCCAAAACTGTCATACAGTGACAAAAACCTGATCGAGTCCATGGATCAGTCTGCATTTGATGGATTTTCTTTTATTAACCCTAAATTTGAACAGCTCTTAGACAAGTAAGTCTCTAAACAGTTGGACTTTAAAGCAGGGTTAAACGTTATCAGCTGAAAACTCTCAAGTGTTGTGCGTTCCAAGGACGTTGTTGATACTTCAGAATAATACATAGTAGCATGATCAATTGCCAACTGCTGATTTATTGGCAGTGCTCTTTTATTGGTTGGGTTTAAGGTATGTGAATCATGTGCATTATTTTCTCTATTTGGGAAAAATGTAAATTCTGTTTGGTATTTGAATGTAGTTATGTTATATATATATGCTGTATATTTTGCTCGAGACAAGACTTTGGGGAACAGTCGTCTTTTTTTAAAAGTGTTTGAGCCCTTGGTTCTTTTATTTGTCATCAATTAAAACAAAGTTACATTAAACTTTCATTCATGGCTTTATGGTTTCTCTTTTAGAAAAATGGAATTCAAAGGCAACTGGAGTTTAACTACAGTAAAAAGCTAATAATTTTTAAGTCCTGATCACTTACAAAAGTAACACAAGCACTTTATGAGAATGAACCCAAATGAAGAATTATACAAAAGCAGAGGTTTACACTTGCTGTCGTGGGAAACAGCTTGGTGCCACTGGTACCACTTTTTTAAACAGGCTGTCTCTCACTCCGTGCAGTCAGTGCCAAATAGAGTCAGGCTTCACTGACCACACCAAATATTTATTCTGAGACAGCCTAAGCGTAAAACAGTGGGGCCCAAGTGTCCTGCAGCAGCACAAGCACACTGCCTGGGAACACGAGGGAACAGTGCCTGGGAATGGGAATTTTCACCTGTTACACACCACTTCCCGTGAACAGAAATATGCAGCGTGATCACAGCAGCAGCTTACTGGGAGAAAATCATCAGGTAACAACTGTGTAGAGCTTTAGTGCTACTTGCCTGGTCTGCCAGAGAGGAATTAGCTCAACTGGCAAGCACAAAAATCTTTCTTCCAGCTTTATTTGCTCATTTTTAATACAACAGATGTGCCTTTTTCTATTTCCTGTAAAAAGAGCACAGAACTAGAACTAGATCCTACTTTGCTGCAATAGCTACACCTGAAGTTTGACTTTTAACCATTAACAAGGAAGAAAAACTAATGTAATTACTACAAGCCCCTTTCCAGAACCCTTCTCCTTGTGCTCAGCTTCTAAATTAAAGAATATAGCAAGGTCCCTTGCTTCTCAAAAGCCTTCTAGATATTGTAACACTATGATTTGTTTTTCTCAATCACTTCACAGGTGGAAAAAAAAAAAATATACTGGTGAGTATCACTATCCAACAGTTATACAACGTTACAGTTTTTAGGAGCACGGGGTAGCTACCCTGGGGAGTTTCAGATTGTTAATGTTGCTGAAAGAGCAGGAGAAAGGTATCAACCACCCACCTCAATAAGGCTTTCTATAAACTCAAAAATATACAGTGCATTCTTTGTCTTTCTTCTAAAGAACAGCTCTAGCTCATTGATATAATTCAAGTAATGTCAGCAAGATTTGGATGCCCTTTTAAGTGTTCAGGGGATCGAGGCTGGAATAGTCAGAACACAGTTGGCATTTCTAAACAGACAGGGTTTGCCTAGTTACCACCACCACACACACTTACACAAATCCCTTGTCAGAGGGGGAACAAACACTACGCTGTGAGCTGCTGCCAGGGTGAGCAGCAGATGTGGGGTTTTTCCCTCCCAGTAACCTCCTCAGTCATTTCTGGTTTGCCTTTTTTCTCTTCAAGGTTATTCTGCTTTCAAAGGTGAGTGCTGGAGGCTTGTACCCAAGCAGAAAGTTAAAACTGTGGTTGATAGCAGCACTGGGCTTGTAATAACTTACAAGTAGTAACTGTTGCTTGTGGAAGTGTTTGCTCATTGCACTTACCTGCTTCGCTCTGGAGTGACGGGTGCCAAACCTGCTCAGGAGACCCTGGTTTTCACACAGCCACTCTTCCAGCTGGGATTTAACTGACTAACCTGGAGCATCTCCCTGCTGGCACAAGCACACCTTCCATCAGCTCCACCACACTGGTGGCACCTGGGCAGAGCCGCCTTCCCTCTGCAGAGCAGTTGTGATCCTCCTCCTCAGCAGCAGCACTGCGCTCAGCCATGGACATTCTGGGAACTGGGGGGAGCTGCCCCACCATAGGCATGAGTTCCTTACAGCAGCAGGAAATGAAAGCCCCACAGGTCACAGAGCTTTGGGGACCTCCTCTGCTGAAAGTCCTTGTGCTACAGGGGCATGGAGGTAATAAAGAACTGCATCCAGAAAGCAGCCTCAAAACTCTCAAAATTACCTCTCCCACAAACATAAATGCACAGGAGAATTAACAATGAAGAAAGCCTAGCCAAGAAGATCCAAGTGTGGTTACTACCCAAGAACATACAAGGATCAACAAGACCTGGAAATTTGAGTACATCATTCTAAACCACTACGTAGGAATTGAATTTGTCCTTATCCTTCAGGTCGAGTAGCCCTGCAAATTTCATGCCATCTGCCCAACCTATACATGTCAATTTGTGCTAGAAGGCAGCATTTTGCAGTTGGTTTTCAGTTTTGTCAAAAAAAGCAGCATGTGGAAGACAATGTAAGAACAGTGTACCTTTGAGAGGGTGGATCAGATCTTAAAACACCACCGACCAGGTAAAATTAATAAAGGCTTACCTTCCTCCTCCATTGGATTCAAATCTTGACTCGTTGGAAGATTTTATTTAACAAATACTTTTTCCTCAGTTACTGAATTTGTCACATGCATTGTAATTGTTCGTCAGACTAAAGCAACCCATGAGGAAAAATAACAATTCTTATGCTTATGTATAAAGTCTCTTAAGCCAACATCTCCTATGCTTCAGCAAGCTGTGGAAGAGATCTGCTGACCTGGAGGGGATACTCACCTGGCACTTTGGCTGCTGTAAATGGGCATAGAAAGAAACACACATCAGCACAAGTTGTAGCATTTGATCTTTATTACCTGGATCAAAGGTCAAATGATTACATGTGTCTGAAAGATTATGACAAAGGCCAACAATGTAAGAAAAGGTAGTTTAATCCCATTTGAGAGACTGCATCTGAGCTAGCAAGTGCATTAACAGTCAGAAGGCAGTAAAATAAACAGGGCTACAAACACACAAGGTTGGGATGAGGGGTTTCACCTCCCCTGTCAGTGACGGTTCTGTCAGGAGGCGGGGGACAGATGCAGCTTTTAAACAGTGACAATAATCTGCAGTCCTTAACAGTGACTTTCAGAAAGGTGGTTATGCCTCAAGGAGGAACCTAATTTTCCCTCCTGCCTCTGTCACTTGCTTCAAATCTACATTCATTGTCTACACTTGCTCTTGCCAGCTAGAAAGGGCCAGATGCAGCCAGTGATTTAGTGCCTTCCTAAAGTAGAACAAACAACTTCATATATTTTTTTCCTCTCTTCAAGTATCAGCGTAACAGTTTATTTACACTTGTATACAATTCTTTTTACTGCACACCCAACTTAGTAAAACATCACAGTATATTCAAAAGCAGGCTATAAAAATACCTAACTATACATAAAACATTTAGCCTTAAGGAATTTACAGCACCTCTGAAAGTTGAGAGAGGTAAAACAAAGAAAGGGGGAGAGGAGAGACCCTTCAAGCTGTGCTTTGCCAGTGAAGAGAAGCAGCCCTTGGGCTCAGCCCTCACGAGGGGAAACCTTTCCTTCCACCACATTTCTGCAACCAGCTCCAAACGCAAGAAGCACCACAGTCTGCTGGTCTAATGCAGTCTCCTGGGATTTGCAATCTGTAGCTACAAATAAACTCTGACTTTCTCAATTTAAAAACTGTTTAACAACTCCTGGTCATGGCTGGACGGTGGAGGTCCGGAGGAGCGAAGGCTGCCTGGAGCACAGCATAGCTTTCCCACACTCAACACACATCAAAGCAGGAGGGGAAATTACCTCTACATTTTTGCCACAAAGATGGCCTTGTTAATTGCAATAAAATGACTTCTCCGAGCAGCACTGTGTGGCCTCTCCCCTCACACAACAACTACGGATACAGCTGAGTTAATAAAGATCTGAAATGGGCATTACTGAACGCACAGATCACACGCACAAAGCTTTAGACAGCAGCGCTTGAAGCAAGGGTTTCTGATCATTCTGTACCCTACACATTCCTCTTCTGAAATGGAACCCAGCAATACAGTATGGCTTAGTTCCAGAGCTAAATATATTGCTGAAATTAGCTTATTAAAGAAAAAATCACAACAGCAGCACATTATGTTATAAAACCTGCACAAACAAAAGACAATTTAGCCCTTGCTTGCAAAGCTACATTATGG